ATATATATATATATATAGAACCACCATAGTAGAGATAAAAAGCCCAGCCCTCATTTCATTTAATTCGCCTCCAAGACCAATCGAAACGGTAGGGTTTTGTCCTTGCTTATTAACACCCTTATCCACCACCACCTGGGGACAAGCCATGCAGCCTCGCAACAAAGTCGATTGATTTCACATAACTTATGTGGGTAGGATACGAGCTGTAAAAAAATTTCGAAGCCAGGGCATTTTCGATTTTTCATTCATAAGTACTTGGAACGGTCCCACAAAACCTGCCTCTGTTTTTTTTGTTAAGTAAGGTTCTCGATGATAGCGGAGATTTATCAAGCGAGGTGGCATCAACTCTTGATGGAGAGGTATTGGGGTATTGTTTTGCCTCGTAATCTTCACCCATCTTCGATAAGAGTCGTCAAAATTGAAGTGGCCTACCATCCACTGGGAATAATAGGTTTCGAATCACAACTACCAAAAATGAGCCTATTACTTGCGCATAACACTATTGTTGTTATGGTGGAAGCAGTACCAGTAGTGGAAATATTTATAGTACTGTCACCTGACGGCACGACGTCAAAAAATTTGATAAAATCCTGATGCTTACCAAATTTCTTTAGAATAATTACTTTCTATAGATTAAAGCGTTTTGATGACTAAGGTAATTTTGCTTTTCAACGTTAGAGTTTAATAATTTCCAGGCTCTACTTTCTATTAACCTCGGCATTGGATTATAAATGTATAGTTTTCTTTTTCAGCAATCGCAAGGTTGTTATACAGCACACGTTAACTTTTGCAACGAATGTAAGCGTTTGCTGTAAACCTTGGGATTGCTAGGGTTTAAGTGTTTTATCAAACTTGGTTCTAAAGCTAAAAGGTGGATTTGAAAAAAAGAAGACTCATGCGTATTCTCCATGTCCTTAGAAGCATAAAATATGTTCAGTCTGAGTGTTATGTTGTCACTCAGCAAGCCAATCGACGTATGAGGTTGCGTTCGGATTTTTGTTAACTGCATAGCGTTCTGCCTCTCCTGGGAAATAGCTTCAAGTCACATAAGCATATTATTACTAACGATGTGAATCTGTAATCCGTTCGGACACCCACCACCCCTCAGACGCGGGCGTAAATTTGAGCCGTTTCAAAGCCAATCAGTGGTGCCGGCAGCTGCAACTGCCCTGCGGTGGTGACATGGGTACGTCGGATTTTCACCAACCCCGAAAACTACTCGGCTAATGATTGGGTTTCGAAATTGATACCGACAATGACGACGACGTTAATGGTCGCAACACATAGGCCGCATTATATCTGGACTGGAACAAGCCGTGGTTCGACTATTAATTATATATCGGGAAAAGTTCGAAATTCATTGTAAATCTTTCCCCACTAGTCCAATTTATCTCTTTTGCATAAGGTTATATTGTAACGCAAAGGTAATAAATGGATATCCTTCATCTTAAAAACCGACTTTCACTAGAACGGCAAGAATAATCAATTATTTTCTATATGACTGAGCTGACACGAGGTTGATATAAGAAATTTAATCCGGTTCATAAAGTTTCGGGACCATCGCCTTCTAGGGAGCTGCGCTGATCCCAGTCGATTTGCCGGTCGTTGTAGAGATATGGGTGTTCGTCGTCACATCGATTAGAATCCAGTGCAGGAAGCACCGTTTGTATTCGAATTTTGAACGTTACTTTATAATCCCTTAATATTCTTCAAATTTGATCAGTTCTTATTATGCTATCATAACGAACGGTATCGCCGGCAACCAACCAGAAACCCCTCTCACCGATACGGGATCAGAGAAAATTGCGTGCTGCGTTTTCGCCCTGATACGGATAGTGAATGTGGAATGGGCTGTGAGTATTTCCTGCTTCATAAAAATTCGGCCACACTGGATCCAGTTATAACATTCGTATTCAAGTAGTCATAGGTATCTACGTGGCTGTATCCAGGTGTGCTTACTTGTACGTCGATTCGGCGAGACGTTTGCGGTCAACGGATTGGGAAGTAAATAGATGGTGGTTCGGGTTTGCATTGAACACATATAGAGCAAGTTATATTTCTAAAGAGCTTACAGTTAAGCTGTCCTTGAATTCCACAACGTGACAAAATACTCATGACTATATTTCTCCTGGAAGCAATAAATTTAAAAATGCCGCAATATTTGTAATGTCTCTCCAACAAATGGATGCCAAAGTGTGGTTCTGGTGACAACGAATGCTTACTGTAGTTGTCTGCTCAGGAGTTGCTTGGTGACTTACGGTGGTACGGGTGTAAGCGAACTACAATTCAATTTTTAAAAGGAAAACGTTATTGACATAGCTTTCATAACTGCATTCCTTATTTGTGACATTTTTCATAACGCTGTGACACAACCAATAGCATTGAACAAAACGAATGAATACTGTGGTGAGAACTTGGTATGATAAGTGTAGATGGGGCATCTGGCGAGTTAAGTTTGAAATAAAAAAAAACAATAGAGTGGTAAATTCACCTTAGCTTCTTAAGGTTACAAGTTAAAACCAAATATTGGTTTTACACTGATGACCAGTGCAAATTTCGACAAAAGGCATACTTCTAGCTCGTTTTTCCACAGGTTAGGCATCTTCGCCAGCCGGATCACACTGTGATCTCGAAAAGTAATCCAAAATCTAATGAAGTGAATGGAGATGAAATCGCATCGAAAGCGGCCAAGACATCTCGCATCTTCGTCGATGGCTTTCGCTGGTCTCTCATAATACCATAAGATGATTGTCGACCTTCTGTTTTCTGATTTTTCTTCTCCAGTACCCGACTAAACAAACCAAACGTGCAAACATTCTCACGTTTCACACGTGCTGTGTCACCGTCGCTCATAGTGCCAACAATTTACGGCTGTCTTAGAAATCGCGCATATTAAGCGAAGGATAACGTTCGAAATGTTGTGACACTTCAACAATTCGTCCTCTACTCTACTCTTAAGCTCATTAGTGCTTTCAATGTTCACAAGAGAGGCAATATTGCTCCCGTCTGTGGAGAATGTTGACGATTTTTTCCCATATGGCAGCACTCGAGGTTCATTTGAGAGGCTTACGAGCAGCGCATATTGAAACCCTACAAGTTCAGTTACTAAAAGTCTTATCTATTGGTAATAGTTAAGCGAACTCCTATAAAATCAATTTGCATAGTTATAATAGTGTAGTACTCCATATACAATAACCGTGAATCCATGAGAGAAGAGGCGAAGACTAGTGAATAGATCATGGTGTCGTTATAAAATTCTTTTTAAGACATGGAAAGTCTGAGAAAAAATTAGGGTGAATGATATCTGCCAAAGAAGGTGAACGGAAGAAAAGAAATGATGAAAAGCAGAAACAGTTAACAAGTTGATGCTAGAACGTAATTTCCCTTCATGCTTTTGTTAACACTTTATTTTAAAGCTTTGCTATTTTTTCGATAAATACGAATTAACTGCAAGAACAATATAAATAAAGGATAAAGCTCTCGGCTTTAATCAATCCCTGAGAGATGCAACCTGCATTCGACTTCATTAAGCATCGCTTGGAGGTGATCGAATACGTATCAGGCCTTTATAATGACTTGCGGTGGCCTAGCGATGTATCGAACCAGTGTTGCTATCTTCCCAGACAACTCTGGTACCAATTTGCCGACCCTGGAGGAATGGATGGCTTGGTGGGCCAGGAGGGCGAGAATCGATCCCATGTGTATTACAGGGCGCCTTTGACCACGGCACCACATGAGCACTTAACAATATAGGTATGTCCAATAATACGATAACGTGAGTAAAGCATATGTAAGCAAATGAAACTAGCATACAAATGTATAAGCGCAGAAAATTATTTCCGTCTTTGAGCCATGTAAGGCTCATACTGTCGTCAATGAGTGAAAATGACCACGCGGCTAGTGTGCAATGTTAAAAAAAACCCTCTGGAGAAAACTGGTCAGTGGTTGTAGCTACTCCAGCTGGCTTCCTAAATTTATAAAAAAAATAGAAAAACTAAAAATTATTTTAAAAAAAATAAATACTGAAATTGCCCATTGGTTACAGAACAATTTTTGCCAAGGCCGAAAAATTAAATATTAGAGACAAGTAAGAGAAAATACATTGACCAACAAATATTTAGAGCTACGTTAATAAAAGCAAATTGATAGGCTGATTTTCTCTTGAGTCTCAACAAGTGTTATATCAGCCAATCATCTATAAAGTGTGGTAGCACTAGCCAATGACGTCGACGATAATGATAGCATTAAGCAATACCTACAGCATGCAATGATAAGCCACTGTTGTGTGATCACCGTACGTGAGGACAGCTGTCCTTTTGTTGATGTAGACGATTGTTGTTCTATTCGAACAAATCAAACTAGTCTGCTACTTCAGAGAATAGATGATTGATATGCAAAGAATAACTAATCCCTCTCTTTTTATCTCTGTCACTTTCTCCACCTCTCTATGTATCTTTCTTTCTCTCCTTTACCACTTTCATGCTGTGCTGACTGATCATCTTCAAAGATAGCTGAAGAATCACCACGACACCAGCAGTGATTGAGTCATTGTATACAACGAAGCTTGAAGCTGACTACTGGGAATCAGGTCGAATTCTTGAGCAGTTAGTCATGTCTGCGCAGTGGGCACCTCATACAAAGCCTCTGCCTCTTTCAGGCTTCATTTCGCAAATCTCTGAATCTTCGCCGATAGTTCACACACTAGTACTACTTGAACATATAACGCTATCCGGAATGCCGTCCCTCCCGTTGTGAGTTCATCGACAGAGACTGGAACAACGCAGGGAAAAAATCGTTATCGCCAAAACTAAAGTTCGTTTATCACGAGCCGATAACTGGTCGCTGGCTTAAATACATGTCAATATACCTTGTTGCCAATTCCAAAGAAAGGTACGGACCGTCGTTTTTCTCTCACCGTCACTTCCTTCCTTCTTTCCAGAATGGAATTTACTGAGTGACCATGCACATGAAGCTTTCATGATAAAATCCACGTGAAATCAACATAGTGTGCGTAACGGAGCGATTAGAGGCATCCTTCAATGCGTACAGGGTCGATGGTTCATTTCCTCGTCCTGAGCAAATCAAACTCCATCACTCCAAAGTAGGCAAATTGGTGCTTGAGTTGACTAAGAGGATTTGACTCTGACTTAATGCTTAGACAAGATTTCGCAAGCAATACTATATGCTACTGGTGCATTTAATCACAGTTACGATGCTAGGAATGGAGCCGAATGCATGGCACTTCCTTGAGCGATTGACTGGTGTCGAGCGCTTGATGGTATTGATGCAAAATTAGTGCCTTCATCTGCTTTCGTCTTATTCTACTGAGGAAAGCTCCTCTAAAAGTTTTTCTAAAAAGATTTAAGATTACTTGTGATCGCAAACGGAACTCTGGATATCTTTCCACTGTGCCAAAATTTTCCCATTCATTTCCGTTTTTCGTCGCTATTCATGGATTCCTAGCTTATCTATGACTATAAATCTCTAGAGCTTCCGAATTCCAATGCATTTTTCTTTGTGGGCATCTCAATAAATCGAAAACAGCGATGACGAATGCAGTAGTTTGCTGCGTATGAGGAGCTCTAGCGAGAAAATTTTCCTCATTTTAGCTCATATTATGCTTCATAAGAAATGTTCTTTACTAGGAATCGTTCGTTTCGAAGATTTCTCCTCAATACAGTAAATTCTCTTCCGGTCGACATTTTTCGACTTGTTCGAATGAGTCGTAGACTAGAGCAAGCCAATTTTTTTTCGTACGGTTTCACCGTACTTTCAAGTAAGCTGTTCGGCTATCTGGGAGCATTGTAAGAAAAGAAAAGAATTCAACGGAAGTCATTGTACGAACATTAGCATACGAAATGAATTCCTCGTAGACGCGAACGGATGAGCACAAGTTGAACTTTCCAGGTCTATCCAATATTCCGTTGACGGTATTCGAATATTTGAGCGGAATACCGTGCGTTCTAGGAGCTCACAACTTCATCGATCACCAATCGATTACTTGATTAACTTATTCTTTTGCTATGCATTACTAATGACTACTAGATGGTTCCAAAGCAAACGACTTCATCGACTTACTTGAACCTTCTGATGGCCTGTGTTCACGGAAAAATTATGGGATTCCTAGCACATTTAAATACTTGACGTTACTAGTTCCATAAGGTTTTTAGCTGTTGTGTGGAGTCTCCAATCCATGCCGGGATCCTCCTATCATCGACGGCTCGATGGGAGGTTGACCAGTATGCAATTAATTTCCAATAAGAATATTGAAAATTCCTCATATAAGGCGTTCATTTGTATGCTGAATGGTATCGTATAGGATAAAGGATCAGGCGTTCAGTTTTGATCATTTGAAATTAAATGCATATTTGGCCTATACAATGATTTCCAGTGGCCTACCGAAATGCCAAGTCATTGTTCCTATCCTTCTCAACAAAACTCTTTAAAATTTTCCTGACCCGTTGGAAGGGAGGGTTGGTGAGCTTAGGAGCGGGATTGAGCCGGCGACCGATCTAGTGTGTGTTACAGGCATCACTAACATCTGCAATGTGCGCGCCGTTTATGTTATGTAAACACGACTATTTCGACTTAATCTCAGCCCTCTGTTCTGGTTATTTACTAATTTGTCCCCTCTAAAAGTCCCTCGTTTTCCCCATTCTCGATAAGCTTAGACTTACATGAATCGGGTGCGCACTTGCTGATGTCGATGCAAGAAAACCGCCCAGCGAACACATTCTTCGAGAATTCTCATACATAAGCAAATTAGGCTCCGTTTCCATTAATCGCGAAAACCATAGAACTTCTTTTTCCTTCCACAGGCCATTCAAAATCTAGTGTGTTTAAGATGCAAAGAGAACAAGATTTCAATAGAAATGTCCTGCCTTATTCCTAAACGTAATCACCTTCACAACGTTGCTGAGATATTTGCAAAACTCTGGACCGCAGGTGTCTATGGTGGGGAACGAACGCGCTATTATCCTTTCCGGGGAGTAACGCGTTCACCACCACACCATGCGGGTCCTTTGTTTCGCACGTCTCTCAGCTATTTCTATCGATCTTTTTGCCACAGCAATCACCCGTCAGCGGGGTTGATCTGGGGAGCGCAAATCGGCATAGAACCCAGTTAAGCTATGGCTGTAGTTGAAATCACAATGTTTAACGTTTTGTTTTCTGCCTTCTATAATTTTCATGGCAGGTTACTAAGCGAAATACAACCACAACGTTGCTGAGATATTTGCAAAACTCGTTCTCCACCATAGACACCTGCGGTCCAGAGTTTTGCAAATATCTCAGCAACGTTGTGGTTGTATTTCGCTTAGTAACCTGCCATGAAAATTATAGAAGGCAGAAAACAAAACGTTAAACATTGTAATCACCTTCCTCAAGTCCTTTTTAGCTTTTCGCCCACTTTCTAGCACTCATAGATGTTCAGTGTTCAGAAGGCACATAAAAAAGAAAGCAACTGTAGAGACAAATTTTGTTCCAGAAAATGCGACGACCATCCTTGGAAAATGGGAAGGCACGTTCGCTTTTCTTAGTGAAGTAGGAAAAATTGTGAAAACGAATTTTAGTGGTATGAATGAAGACTCGACTTCTTGGTTGACTTTCTGCAAAAGCTCACGTAATAAATGAAAAAACGAACGATTACTAATAATTTTATTCATAGTGTTATAGCAAAAAAAAATAACTGCGCAGGGGGCGGATCGATTTCACTGATGCGGCACACTTTTCACGCCTGTCTCATTCGTTGATTTCGATAAGGTGATGAACAATGGTGAATGGACCTTCAGCGAAATTATCTCGGATCGGGAAACCAGTTGGAATTTTACAGTTGAGTAGGTAATTTCTTCACCGGAATAATCAACAAAATCCAAAACCCGTTCACAAAGTTGGGAGTTATCCTTATTCTCAAATTCTTCAGCGTTCTATGGAATAACTTCAGGAAAAAAAAACCCCGACTTCATTACGTAAAATTACGAACAACTCAAACAAAAAAGTTTAGATGTGGAAGGGTTAAGAACAAAAGAAGGTAAATGAACTTCCTAATCATTTTTTTCACTTTTATCTTGCATGCCTATAATCTAAGACCGTTTAGTAAAATCTTTTAAAGGGAAACTACAACATTCTACAAAGAGAAGAGTTGAAAGGAAGAGAGGAAATACAACGTTTTTAACAATATTCATCAAGATCATCAAAAGTATTACAAACTGTGCAGCTGTTAAAGCATGTAACTTAATTGCCTTAAGAAAGAGTCCTTTTCCTCCAAGTGGCGATGAAAATTCCTTTGCTCATATCCCTATTTTTATTTTTCATCCGCCGTGCCATCGGTACTTATCTGTTTCGTACATGAAAGTCAATGGTAATTGGCACCTACCACATTTGTTTGTCCTAACGCCCAGAAAAGTTAAATGTTTTTTAATAAGTGTAATGGCTTAATACTTNAATTCCTTTGCTCATATCCCTATTTTTATTTTTCATCCGCCGTGCCATCGGTACTTTTCTGTTTCGTACATGAAAGTCAATGGTAATCGGCACCTACCACATTTGTTTGTCCTAACGCCCAGAAAAGTTAAATGTTTTTTAATAAGTGTAATGGCTTAATACTTCTTAGTTATCCAAGACGTATCCCCCACTTTTTTCAGAGGTAGCTTGAAAACGATCGATTGATGATTTTCGCCGATTTTCGAATTGTGTAGCAGCTATTTGACTTAGCGCGAGATCAGAGGTAGTCGTTGCATGGAAACTAGTCACGATAGGTTCATGGATGCTTTTCTGGAACATGACCGTGTCGAAGGTGTCGGTGGCGATGGCATGGCGGCGCCGGGGGTGGGCGCAATCGCTGCAGCTGGTGACGACTGGCGGCAGCTGCAGCAAAAAACCTTGTCGGCGTTGATTCTTCTATTCATCTCGTCACATCCGAACATAATTGTTCAGTCAGCGTGATGACTTTTTCCGATTAGTGGAAGACTGAGACGAAATGGTACGAGGAAGTCGTTGAACGACATGGCGGAAGAATTCGATCAGCAAACATTTGTATAACTCTTGTAGGTACAAATTTTAGCTTTTCGCTTAAAGCAGATTTGCACATTTGTGTAAACGTTGATGATAACGAAGGTATAAAGGGATAGAAAGCACTGCTTATTGGAGATGATCCCTTCAATTCTACCTGCTTCAGATGGAGAAATTCCATACTGATTTTCCTGTTGAGCCTGTCTCTTAGAACAAAATCACCAATTCTCTCATGCTAACTGGATATTGAGGCAAAAGAGGTCCTTGAAGACATGCTGCAGGTGACTGTCTGATTAACCGACAGTAAGACCTGACCGACCGTCACAAAAAACTGCAACACTTCATTAGCACAGCAATTGCAGATCAAGTCGAAGCTACGATGTTATGATTGTTTTATAGAAACACATTCCAATGTCGCCTTTTCTTCACCATGGAGACCATCGAACAGTCTAAATCGTCCTATAAAAAACGAAATCCAAGTGGAATGGAACGAAAACAACATACTGAAGTGCTGAAAGTCAAGTCGCTCTGCCATTACTTTCTAAGATGACGATTTCCAGTGAGGGTGCTTTGATGTCAAGAATTCCCATGAAGGTCAAAAATATCAAGAAAAAGTCCTACGTGTTTGGTTCTACACCTATATATTTTGTAAAGCAGACACTAAAAAGCTCTAAATTGTACCAGATAGCTATTCTATTCACTGTTTTCTCAATGAGTACCACGAAGTTGTTAACAATAAGATTTCTTCAGTACAATATTGCTGAAAGTTCTGACGGTTTCGTCTGCTTCAGAGCCTGGAAGAGTGAAATGGACACGCAATCCACCTAGTCAGATAGTTTCATAGCTCCAACCGGTAAGACTTAATACATAAATGTTTGCTCGCATAGTGAACAGCCTCTCTTAGACCTTCGTAGTAGACGTAGTAGACCTTTCTATAGATGTAATATGACTACACACTTTTGCAGAAGGTTCTGATGATGTTTATTGTCGCTTACCCACCATCGACATACGGCCGACGTATTACTCACGTATTACTGTCATGTGTACGTGTGCGTGTCCGTATGCGTCGGAACATCGCCAGAGTTTTTTCTTTTCTTTTATACACCAAAAAGAACAGCACAATGACGGAGGAGAGCTATGGTCATGCATCAGAACCATAAGCTGAATCAGCTCCCTACATGGTTGTCATGTTACACAGTCTCATTTCTTTAACATTCGGCGAGGCGACTGACCTATCTGCGTGTGTATCTATGTATGTATGTAGGTGAGTGTGCGTTTGCATGTACATATACATATCTGCGTTAGCGTATGTACGTCGTTGTGTGTGCGTGTGTCGGTGTGAATGTGCGTGTGTCAGTACATTGCCACCGCTTCTTCTTTTCTTTTCTACGTCACAAAAGAACAGCACAATGGAAGAGGAGAGCCATTCTGAAACATCGGAATCACAAGCTGAATTGTTGTTCCGCTTCGTTCGTATTCACTGACGGGACAATAGTCCTTCGCTGCTGGCTGTTGAAGGTGTCGACGTGGGCATGCTGTTCTGTTGTTGTCATCACCGTCGTCGTCGTCGTCGTCGTCCCTTTTTTCGTCTGTTCGTTTCGCGTTTTCGCGAAGAATTCGATGAGAATGCGCTTGTGTTATTCGTTTTGCTCCGTTGTTTTTACAATACAGAGGAAGAGCGAGAGAGACAGTAATCAAAGAGTGAGAGAATGAAAGACCTATCAGAGCTATAACAATAATGAAATCGCATGATTGTAACGGTAATGAAGAACACGAAAGTGATCATGAAGGATAATAAATAATGAAGTAATCACCAGTAATAGAAGTGGGCAACTGTTCCCCAGTGAGTGTTCCCCAATTACTCATAGAGTTAAACTAGTTGCCAAAAAAGGGGAGCAGATCATGTTTTCAAAACAACGTTTCACTATGGAAGCCATTTAATAGGATCCTTAAAAAAACAAGGAATAAGACTTGGGCCCAGTTTTTCGGAAGGACATCTTTCAAATGTGCTTCAATACCAAACAACGGTCAGAAAGTTTTCACCACATGAGGTAAGTTATATCGCTTTTGGAGAATCATCCACGCAAGCATTTTGAGTGGTGACTAACGTCACTATCCAAACTGAACACAACGAAAGACTCAACTAATGTTGTGTAAAGGTTTTTCAATTATGTCAAATTTAAGGTGTCATCTTTATAAATGCTTTTTAAAATTTAAACTAAAACTTTTTCACTTTTTAAAAGTGTTGTTGAGGAGCAGACGATTTAGCACATTTGTTTCAGAATGAGCAAAGGTATGGGAAATTCCATTCCACTGTCAAAATCTCGAAAAGAAATCATTCCTCATGGTCTAGAATGATGAAAAATGAGGATAAATATAACATAGAAACGAGTGAATACTGTATGAAATAACGAACTTAGTAAGAAGTATTGATGAAATAATTATGAGGTGAATACAAAGTGAGACAACGGAAATAAAAGTAGTAAAGAGAAAGAAGATGAGGACAGAATCTCTTGATGTCATGGTGAGTGAACTCAACGGAACGACGCTGGTAGAAAAAATTTCTTTTCCATAAAAATTAAAATGGAAATTTTTTTCCTAAAAAATAACGTAAAAAAGATATTTTTCCAGACTTGTATACATAAAAACCTGTTCACTAAAATAGTCAACAGAGAGCTTTTCAAGGAAGTTTCTAGAAATAAAGTTTTTTTCCGAAAAATACGTGAGACTGTGGAGAGCAGAAAAGAACACAGCTGAGGATACGGTAGCTCTCACCTGGTCTCATAACTAAACAGCTGATTGCGTGAATAGCATCAGGTAATGCCATCAATATAAAAATCAGGCTAACAGCCTTCATGATACACAAAGATGCACTGGCAGTAGTTGAACCACTACAACAGCTATCCGACCGCTTCTGTGTATGTGATGGTATTTCAAGTAGAAGCAAACGAGAGGATTGGTAGGTAAAGTGATGTTGGTGAAAGGAAGAAGGGTGGTTGGGTGAGTGGGGTGGGGGCGATATGGGTGTAGAGGAAGAAAGGGGAGGGTCGTCGGGTCAGTCAGAGCTGTAGCAGCAGCAGCTTTTAGCCACGCCCAAAAGCGTTACTAATAACTAATAGCACAATGCCAGCAAGCTGGTTAGGCGCTGATGGAGCTGGAAATCAGTAGACACCAACAAAGACTCGAGAATAATAACTGAATAAACACACAGCGTCGACCTCTGACCCCTTGAGTGCCTCTATTTGGGCCTGTGCCATCGCACCAAGGTAAAGCCTAGATGATATGGGTGCCAGTAGGGAGGGATGACGAGCTGAAGTGGGTAGAGCAAGAGTCGGCCGCTGGGGAAATAAGGGTTTTCTTCAGCATTCTAAACCCAATTATTATTACAAAAAGAGAGCTTGGCGCGCATAGAACACTTCAGAGAGTTTTTCCAGATTTTAAAAGACTTTCTTCTATTGAACCTTGTGACAATGCAAAAGATGTAAAGCACTCTCCAAAGCGTTTTTCAAAAAGCCTTTCACCATAGACACAAACATTTGAAAATGATTTTCATCCTCCTCTGTGTAAAAGAATGTTTTCCAACATCTGTTGTCTTCATTGTGGTAGTTACATGCCGTCTTTAAAACTTATTTCACAGTTTTTCATCTTTACATCTCTGTTCAACATCTGTTCCAATGAGTAACCCGATCAGATGGTCTAAATCTTTTTACAATCGTTTTTAATTTTTAACGCCATTTGTGTCAACTCTGCTTCATGCAAGAAACTTCGAGTCGTTTAACTGCTGAGATATCCCAAGATAGTAATTAAGGGAAGAGTTAAATGTGAACTTGAAAGCGATCATGAACTTTGTTCTAAACAGATCCTGGATCCAGATGTTGGGCCACCTGTCCCAGTTGCACCAAAATGGCTCATATTTTCCTATAACCGCGATTCTACTCACGCAGATGTATGTAGATACGATGGAGGGTCCGGTTTGTAGTGGATTTGTCGATTTCTCTAAAAACATGTAATACACCTGATAAATTGCATGGTCCTTTTTCACAAATAATCGTCCAGTTTTCAGAACAGGTTCCACTTTCCCATAATTTCTCTGATTAACAAGGTTTTCCACTCGAAGTTCAAGATTGCCAGGCCTTCCCAATCTACCGCCACAAGCCGACACTAGTCGTTGTTGATCCGATGGAGAGCTACTTTGGAGGTGCATGATGACACTGATTTACTCCTAGATTGGCTTCCGGATAGCGATTTTGAACTCATTCCAGTTTGCTTAATGCAACTATGGGAGGAAAGTCTGCCCGCAGTCATCCGAAAACACACGCCCCCACCAGTGGTGTAACTGTACATAGTTTCGGTAAGCTTGAAACATGTAATTTAATGACTGAGAGGGTTCTATAAACTAATTCGTACAGAAACTTCTCAGCAGGACCTTCATCTAAGCATTTCTGTATAGCGAAATTCGAAAAATAGCCCGAGATACCACTTGCTTACACTAGCCGTAAAAATAAAGAATTTCGTTTATGGGAGAAGTATGATGTTTTTCGTATCTTTCGAGGGAGTAGAACTTACTGGGTAGCTCTGCACTGGAGTTAATGAAGACCTTTCAGTTCGGTCATCAAAACGATATGGAAGACATTTTTTCAGTTCTTGAGTAGCTGCTGTTACCTGCTTATCAAAATGCAACCACAATAAAAAATGCATCCATTGCCAAAATAAATTTTTGCTAATAAAGTAGAGAAAAATAAAGCTAGAAGTTAGAATTCTAAACCATGATCAACCTTAACTTTCGTACAGTACTCCTTGTCTACGTTCAATTTTGCTAGTGCTGTGAACCACCCGTTCAACCATTGATAGTTATCCGTAGGCGAACAGATCAGTAATTTATCAGCTGTGGACCAGCTTGATGATACTTGATGAAGCTTGATGCTATAATACTTGATGATGAGCAACGATGCGGATCGAATAAATGTCATGAATGCGCCAGTGTTACGCATAACTCCCCTGCGCTACAAACATCTAAAGGTCATCTTGAAAAAAACTTAACAGATAATGTTTTTTTCGATAGTTTACTAAACTGAGCAAACATATTTTAAAGAGGCAAATACCGTGAAGCAAAAACATCTCGAATTTGTCTATTATATTTATTACTCTTTTAAAATATAGCACTAGATCCGTGCCGACTATCGAGAAGGCGCCATCAGCTTGAATATTCTTATCAACCATTATTCTATTCCATATTTAATCGCTATCTCTGTTATCTAACCAGAATATTTGATAGTGATCCACAAAAAATGGACTTTCTTCGCTTACATGTCAAAAGCCATACTTACCTACGATCGCCGATGGTTGGCGTCCTTGATGCCGACGTTGTTGCTCTAAGCAGATGGCCGTCTCGTTTTCATCGTCATCGTGGTCACTGTCTTCATCGTCGTCACCATCGTTGGCGCCGGCGTCGCCGTTGCCGTTGTGGGATTGAGAGCAAGCGCTGTGAGTGCACGACAAAATGAGGCACGAGCGGTACGAAATTAACTACTTCGTCCATCGGCGACACTTATCGTATTTACCGTCTGAAAAGGAGGTTAGTCATCTTCGGATATCAGAAGTCGTACAATGACGACAATGACGAGGTTTAGCTACTGCCGAGACGATTCAATTATAATCACAGCCTCGGCAAATCTGCCTAAATGCTCAGCCGTGTCGGCTGAGTGACGCTAGCTAAAATTGGACGAAGCATTTGCGCGAAACGATGGAGAAAATCATGAAGTAGTGCTTTAAACCAAAGTTTCTGGAGCATACCTTTCATGAAGTTAACAATGAGATACAGCTGGAACCAATATTATCCTGTAACTGAGGAACTTCATGTAAATATGAACCCGTTCACGAAAGAAATCAGGCCTTTCCATTGTTTATTCCTCTTAGAAAAAAAACATTCTTCAGAGTTTGATTGGATTCAACGAGAATGTCATTATGTTCTTATACCTTCAAAACTTGTTCAAGGTTTCAATATGAATGGTATACAAGTCGGGTCCGTTTTCTTCATTGCATTCTCCAGCATCTTTGCATGCTGCTCTGTGCTTTTCACCACCATGAGCTGTCGCTTACCATTTCCAGAACAGCAGTAGATTTGTTGTTTTGAGACATTTCTTCCAGGCCTCATTGGTTTACTGTGGGTTGGACTTTCGCGATGAGAATCCTGAGCTCATTTTTAGCTTAGATGGCAGTGCCAGGAGATCATTCACTTCAGGAAGCACGTCAAAATGGTGTTAAGATGTTGAGACGGCAGCGAGCCAGTGGTAGTCAAATGTTTGTGTACAAGTGTAAGATAAGTCCTCCTGAAGTACAAAAGCAAAAGAGTTTTTCAACCAGTCGTACTGGAAAACTGGCAACCACAATCCTAGCAATTTTTTGGATTTGAAATCAAAGAATGTAGTACTCAGTCATAAATTTGTCGGTAGTGAGACGATAATATTCAGCTTTTAGAGATTTGTAGTGGTATGCATTGATGCCAATTCATGCATGCCAGGAAACAGTTAACCTTTCAACTTTAAATAAGCATGCCATGGTTCGTAGGAAATATTATGAATTGGAATAAAAACCATCAGAATTGGGAGATTTTTTCCAATAATAAGCAAGTTTGCTTACCCACTACAGCAAAATTTTTAGAGCTCATGAGGATCGACTATTTTTCTCTAAATCTTTTGCTACCAAGGCCAGCACATTTCAAACAGCGAAGCAACTGAACAAGACGGATTTTGCCCAGACAAAGGAAAAAAGCGGGAACATTTCCCTAATGATGCCCTTTACAGTGATTGCGTCTAGTCTTTTTTTAACTCTGAGGCTAGTTGAAGATTGAAGGAATATTTTACGAAAATTATGCCTTACCCACTGCCTTAGAGTGATACGATGCAGTCTCTTCCATAGGCTGCTTAAGTAATGAACACCTCAAATATCTCATTGAAGTGAAAACTACTGGTGAGTATTGATCGGATGGAGAATATAGTCAAAATGAGTCTTTCACTGATTTATATCATCTTCTATCATGGTATTTGATTAGTTTCGTGTCGCTGGTGAAGATGATGGTGATGATGACGACGATGATGATGAGAGGAGGGTATGTGTGCTACTATAGTCAAACCGCTTATTATTTGATTATCAAACACATAGGAAGAGAGACGCTACTATACGTGTACGAAGACAACAAGAGCAATGGAAAGATAAATACTGAAGCACAGGGAGAGAGAGTGAAGGATAGAATTTGAACGAAAGAAAAAGAAAAAGCTTATGAACACGCATAGAACGAGATTCTCAGCCATCATGAGAAAAACGCATAGTTCAACAACCGTGTGGTGTCGATTTTCAGAGTGACGACAACTTGACACAAAGCGGAACAGGTGGTTATTTTCCGTTTCATCAGTTTTTCTTGACCTTTTCCTCTTCTTTTTGCTCTCTTTGTTTTTGTAAGCTAAGCACTCATAAAGGTCTCAGTGAACCTGGCGGTATTGTACAAAACCCACTATTGCCTTCTCTTCGTGGTTGGAATAGACTTAAGATCACTGGACTAAATGACTTCTGATGAATCCGATCTTGAATTCATATAAGCTTATGTCCTGGACCCAATTACCCCGATCCTTTCAGTTGACCTATTTGACACATTCACAATTAACTTCGACGGATTTGCCTCATAGGAGTTTGATGACGCCCATGCGACCTCGCGTAAGCCATTGAGATTTGACAAATGTTGGCCGGTTTGTGGGCAATGAACTCTTGTGCCCAAAGTGCCCAAAGTGAGCCAAAACCTTGAACTGCATTACTAAATGGAACTTAAATGCCAGAAAAAAGAAAAACTACGTGAAAATAAAATTTCGGGATGATCGATTTTGAGCTTTCAAAAATTGATTCAAGTCATCAAATCTTTCATAGATTCGAAATTCTTTGACAATGTTCAAAACACATCCAAAAATTTTCTGAGGTTTCGTCGACGAGATATTGTTACTATGATTACTCCACGATGCTTGCTTCTTCTAGGCATCTTAACTATTTGCGTGATTATCGACGTCTAGACAGAAAGAAAATATTAGTAGCTTTTCACAGTAGTTTTTCACTATTTTAATGAATTAATGATGTTTCCATTATGTCTAGCCGACGGAGCGTTTGACGCTGATCAATCCCTAAACGTTCTGGCATGCATTTAGCTCACTCACGATATCGCATAAGCGATTGAGTACATATCTAGCTCATAAAATAACTGGTTGGGGTCAATCAACGTAAAAAGTCGTTGTCTCCTGTCTCCCAAAAACAATTCTGGTATTAATTTTCCGATGACGGTGAGATGAAGAGCTGCTAATTAAGTCTGGGATACGAGATCGAACCAATAACCGATCGAAAGTGTATTGCCGGATACCACTAACCACTGCTACACGGCACGGGTAAAATAACAATACTGCAAATATAACTCGTGTGAAGTGCTGAGATATTTGCAAAACTCCGGACCACAGGTGTATGCAGTGGGTCACCCGGATGGTGTAGTGGTGAAGTGCGCTGCTCCCCGGTAAGGACAACAGCGCGTGTTCGTTCCCCACTGCATACACCTGTGGTCCGGAGTTTTGCAAATATCTCAGCACTTCACACGAGTTATATTTCACAACATACCCTGCCATTAAGAAGAAAAAGGCAGTAAATAAAAGAGTTAATACTGCAAATATTATTAAGTTCTGGATTGGACTCGGATGTCTTCATTTCATCTCGAACGACTGCCATTTTTGACTTAACGACGGAATTCCTTTTAATTTAACTTTTGGCAAAGGTTTGGCACTAGTTGGCTTCTCAAATGGAAATCTCATTCATCATTCCACATTCCATTCCACATCACTGTGATCGGCAACATGTTTGCTATTGTGCATAATCACTAAGCATCATCCATTAACAGAAGAAGTTCTCATGTATCATAATCTTTTGTACACAATTTGCCTCAATTCCATAAATGGAGCAGTTTGAACTGCTAGATCGCAAAACAAGAAAAAGCGGTCGTTAGGCTATCTTATCTCAAACATCAAAAATCACCACGTATTCTTTCGTTGATGAGCTTACACAACGTTGATAAATATATTTACTCTGGGCTAACGTTTGGACATTTTCATCTTCATCAGAGCCGATGATCCGAGTCGATGGTCCACAGTTGTTCGTATTTTCGAGGTGGCGTCTTCGCCTTTGTGTCGAGTCAGGTCTTCCTCAGCGGACCACCTCTCGAATGCAGCAAACTCACCACTCGGTGATGCGCTTTTATGCAAGATGCTGATGGTTGGTAACTGTGATTGTCCGATGATAGTAACTTGTTTTTCGCGGACAATCAATCCTACAGAAGTCGGTATCATTACCAGCTAGCAAAGAGCAATGACAATGACATTAATAAAAAAGCAACATTTAATGTGATCCTTCAGATCAGAAAAGCCCAGTGAACAGTTGGAAGTAATTTTTGCATCCAACTTTTTTTCCCCATTGTTCATTCTTCAATAAAACATCCTTGCGATGATATCCATTCATAAATTGTCAAAATAGCGTTTTATCATCATTTTTCATGCAAATTTGCTACTTTCGAGCTTCCAGACGAAGAGGTTCCATAGACGAAAAATCAAGTGCGCAACGTGGGAGTCCTTGAATGACCTCACGAGTCACACATTGGTCGGCGAGTCTCATTGTTCAGCTCATGATATGATAAGTGGTGTGAAGACTTTTGAACGATAACGAGAAGATGGGAATCTGAGATAAGCTTCACACGATTCCACTCAGTCAATCCGCTCAGCTGGCATCAGATGTGCTGCTCAACATTAGCGAATACAATTCGATGATGCTGATGACTTTCTTGAAAGACTTGAACGTGATACGAACGACAATTTGACAAGTAGGCACCACTTAACAGGAGTTAACAGAGTGGTAAGCAGTTGACCAGTAGACTACGGTAGTGTAACGTCACCACACATAGTGTCACACAACCGTATCAGTTCGATTCACATTCGGTCCTGATTAATCCAAGCAACGATGAGAGCTCTCTTAAAAACGAAAAAACTGTCTCGTACGCTTGAATCTCACCATTAACGCTCCAATTCCAGGTAAATTCACATTCTTTGTAGCAGTGCGCCTACATGTTTGGCGGGATATCTGTTTGCGAACGTTCTGGAATTTTGGTCAATCTTAATAACACCACTTTGTTCACACGTTCTTCTTTCAACAGCAGTTTTCATGCGACTTGAATCCGGACGATAGTTATTTTCTACCTTTACCTTTTTTATTAAAGGAATCATAGTCATAAATGGGATTGATCAACGCCAAAAGCTTGCCCTTTTTTCCTTTTAATCATAAATATGCAATTTTGCTCTGGACCAAAATCTTCAAGCAGGTTCTTGAACTTACAGTTGAGCTACCAGATATCGAAATTGGCCGAGCGGAAAGCAAAGGAAAATTTATAACAAAATATAATTCTTAACGCAGCGTCCTTTGTAGGTCAAGGAAAAAACCAACACAAAAAAACAAAGGGGAAAAAACTAGTTTTTTGTACACACCGTGAATAAATACAGAAAGGCGCGTTTAGCG